AGCTTATCAGAACCAGTGCCAGAGGTTGGACTTACAATTTATGCAAATTTAAGGAATTGATTAATTAAATTAAAAGTTCAAGAACTTGATTGAAAGAGAAAGTGTAAATTGAGAGAGGAAAAGTAAAACTTTCCCGTTAGCATATGGTGGACCAAAACGGCACTGCACTGCTCATTTTGGAAGTCCAAGCAAGTTTTCTAATCAATTTATTTTTTTGTCCTTCTTTTCCTACCTCTTGTAGACTTGTACGACGGGAGAAGACGAAGCTTCCTAGACAAAACTTTCTTGTGATTTTTTAAATTGCTTCCTTTGTGTCTTTTCAAGAAGGTGGAAGAAGCGCGTTTTGGTATTTTATATTGTTTCTTGCAGATCAAATAATTAAACCCAAACTAAATATTATGTAAGAACACGCATTTTGGCGCGGACTTATCTGCTCGAACTTTTGCATGGTCCGACAATCACGTAAGTTCAAATTTATCAGCATTGGCGTTGGACGCCTGACTTGATTAGAAAAATTATAAGCCAGACTTGATTAGAAAAATTATACAAGTTCAAATGCTTAATAAGATATATTAGAAGTTCATGGACTCGATTGAAAAAAAATATACATAAGTTAAAGGAACGACAATCGAATCACCCTTAACAAATGATGTACAAAAAGAGCCCTGCTATTTGTAATTCCAGTCAAGTGTTTTGATCAATTTATTTTTCCTTTTCTTTTTCGTCCCTGTACGACAGATGGAGACAAAAGCTTCCTAGATAAAATATTTTTTCGTTTCTTTTACTTAGTTCCCTTGTGTCTTGTAAACAGGATGGAAAATAAGGGGCGCATTTTTCGTTTTTTGGTACATAGCCATTAGGTAGTACTCGAGTCAGCTCTCGCGCATTTCTACTATTCTATCTTCCCGAGTGGTTTTATGAACACACTCCTCCATATCGGCCTGGTACATTTACAATTTTTCTCTTGGAGTACTCTCAAAGGATTTGAACCTAAAACCATAACGAGAGGAGAAAACTCTTTTACCATCTAAGTCGACACTTTATTGGCAAGGGCTCATAATTTTGGGGTTGTATATAAACTTCATGTAGACTGAATAGCTACGCTCAAACTAAATATTTTGTTAGGATGCGCGCTTCGACAGCAAAGGACTTGATTGAAAAAATATATATGTTAAACATACAAAAAGTAGAATTTTACATTTTAAGAGATAGTGGACCAAAAATAAGGACGCGCATTTTGGCACTTTATATAAGCTTCCTGGACAAAACTTTCTTTTAGTTCCTTTAATTGGTTCCATGGACCTTTGTGTCCTTAGAAGGTGGAAAATAAGGACGCGCATTTTGGCGCTTTACGTAAGTTTCATGTGGACTGAATAATCAAACTCAACCTAAATATTCGTTTGAGAAACGCTATTTGGCACTAGTCCATAGGAACGAGTTTTTCTTTCCCACGTTGTACTCCGAAGCGGTCAAACAGAACGTCGGTTCAAATTTATTAAATTTGGTACTAGGGGCTAGACTTGATTAGATAAATTGAAAGTCGAAGACCTTAACCAAAAAAAGCACATAAATTAAGAGTTGAATTTTCCCTTTAAGAGATAGTGGACGGAAGTTCACACCGCTCACCTTGAAATTCCAAGCAAGTTTTTCAAATAGACCCTTTTATCCTTTCCTTTCTTTTTTTCCCTAGTTCAACATGGAGCCGACTCTTCCCAGCCAAAGTTTTGCGAGGATAGAGTAGCCCATTACTTTACAATTTTCATTAATTTCTGTTCTATGACATGCCCTTCATTAAGCATCGAGAAGTCCATGACATTCTCTTTATGAAACGATAGGTCATGGAGGATCACATGTACTTCATAATTAATGCATTTATCAAGCTCAAAAGCGAATTAGCAGCAGAAAAGAGCAAATTTTTATTCTACTCTATATTGAAAAACAACATGAAATGGCAGAATATTATTTTTCATGAAATCATCAAACCTTTTATAACAACGACTCAGCGTGTTGCATTTGAATTTTCCATTTCATGCTTGTAATAGATTATTCAATATCGCCATGACGTGTTGAGTCATATGGATTTTTTTTCGCATTATTCTTAAGAAGATGATTTGAGAAAAATGAATTTCAAAGTTACAAAGTTCTATTACAATAACTTTTCATTGATTTAGTAAATTGAAAAGTTCATATGTTTAGGTTTTTAAATATTCAGACTGTTGCGTATTAAATAACAGTTAAACTCAAAAAAAGTAAACAATAAGGTCTTTTCTGAATTCATTGGTACGCACTTTCGTACTCTTTATGTCTCCACTTCTCCATATTTTTCGTCATTCTCATTAAAAGAATTGGCACAAATTATAAGAAAGTTTTGTTTAAATCGATATTTGGTTAGATTTCATGTTTACATTCATACTCATACAACTAAATCACTCATTTAAATGTATGCTATTTAAGCCAACATTTTTATATTAGATTAAAATTTTAGTTTCAAAAGCTCTTGGTAATGCGAGATATCAACGTAACTCGAACACGACACGAATTTATCGAGAAAAACACGAACTCAATATGACTTAGCTTGAACTGACACGGGATGACACATTTTCAGTCATTTTTAATGATAAACACTTTGTAATCAATCACGTCCACAAAATGACATAAATAACCAAATATCCTGTCATGACACAAATTGGTAATCTTCTATTATGAAATTTCATCTGAATGTACATTCAAATTGTGGAGAACAAATCTTGAGTTTGAGCCCGTGAAAAACCGGAAAAACGATAAATTATTGAAGCAAATGAAAGCCCTTTCTACTTAAGTATCATGACAATTTTCACACCAATCTCCTTGGTTTCCATGGACAACGAAACTTTTTACATCGTCATCCACCATGTATATTAATTGGCTTTTCATTAGCATTAACTTATCTCAATTACATCTCTAAATGGCAATATATACAGGCTTCAAAAAAATGCTCTTATTCAAGATAGATAAACCAGGTCCTAGATTAGATTCTCTATATTCTTGAGTCATTTGGCTAGTAATATTACAACAAGACATTATTACATGGTTGATGTATCTATGGACAGACATTCCTCTAAGAACCCAAAGAACTGTAAGTTTCATGACCAAGAAAACAGCATCTCCATAATAGTATACTGAACTATGCAAACAAACATAGATTAGAATCTTCAGACATGCATGTGTAACTGTTCTCAACAAGCTACTTAAACACAGAGCATTAAGTATCTAGCTGCATATTTTCTTGTTTGCCAGAGCTTTCCTCACATTTTCCATCCATTTGCCATTTTCTTGGGGTAGTGCAAGAACCACCTACTCTTCTCATCAATGATCAAGTTCTCTAGCACAATACCGACCAAAAACCCGACTCCAGCGCCAACCAACACGATTCTCCAATCCAAGTCAAATAGACACTCTTCTTCATTATCTACTTCGAAAGATGGTGGTGATGGAGTGTTATCACCATTTGTGCATTTATTTGGCAGATGACTTCCACACAAACCATCATTCATCGCAAATGAACTGCTCCCGAATGTGTCAAATTGCGTTCCACGCGGTGTGGGTCCCAATAGACGATTGTGAGAGACAACGAAAAACGAAAGAAATGTGATGCAGGCTAATTGTTGAGGAATCTCTCCCACAAGTTTGTTCCACGATAGATCTAGTGATTCAAGCACTGTGAGGTTGGCCAAGGAAGGAGGGATGCTACCAATGAGGAAGTTGTTTGAATGGTTGAGCATACGAAGTGACTTTAGATCTCCAATGAGTTCAGGAATGAACCCTTCGAACTTATTATTGGAGAAGTCAATCGCCATGACGATATCCGGAATCTTCGCATATTCCCTTTCCGTGCCCTTACTCATTAATGTCATCGCATAATCCATACCTTCATTGAATGAAACAGAAGACAGATCAAGCCATTTAAAAAGACTCAAATATGCCAACTTATCTTGACCAATGATGACCTTCATGGCGTGGCAACTCTTTAACAACTTGGAAGGAAGTTCACCATTGAAGTTGTGGCTAGATAGGTGCGGGAAGTGTAAACTGGTGAAGTTAAGCTGGCTTAGATTATCTTTTATGGATCCATGCAACATATTGGACTCTAAGTCAATAACTTTTAGGTGGGCCAATTCCAATAGCCAAAATGGGAATGTATTGTTAATTTGGTTGCCACCGAGATTCAAATACTCTAGCATTCCGCAATTTCCTAAAGATCACGGAACAATCCCTCTTAGTCGGTTTTCTCTTAGGTCGATCATCCTCAATGAACAACCATCTGGGTAAATGCGAGGAATCATGCTCTCGAATTTATTTCTCACGAGATTCAATATAATCAAAGGACCAATACTAGCCAAACAAGGAGGAAGTGTGCCATTCAGAGCATTGTTGGACAAATCGAACATAGCAAGAGAGCTCGCTTCAAAAATGGATGTTGGAACTTCCCTAAATAGGAAATTGTTTGAGATGTGGTATAGCATGACTGAGGGTGGTGGGACAAGGAGTGTTGCTTCTAGCAAGTTAGAACTAACGTCAAGATACGTCAAGTTCGGCCAAAGATGATCGGTCTGGTTGTTTTCGAAGCCGGTTAGAAGATTGTGAGAAAGATCTATATACTTGAGAGATTCTTTGCTATTGTTCCACATCCATCTAGGAATGATCCCTCGGATTATGTTGTGTTGTAGGTCTAACCGCAACAATTCACTTAAGTAGCCTATAAACTATGGGAATTCGGTCAAGTTGCACGAATCCAAGTATAAGAAGTAAAGCTTCGATGTAGTGGCATTGATGAATGACTTGGTGAACGATATATTGTTTAAAGGCAAATATAACAGAACCCCCAAGTGGCGGCCGTCGATGCAGGGGTAGGGTTTCGAGCAGGAGGGAGGAGGAGAGGATTGGCGAGGTAGGCCTCGAAGTGGAGGAAGAAGTCCCTGTCTCTGATTTTGCTGGTGGTCGTCGCGGCAGGGGTTTTGGCGGTGGTCGGGTAGGGAGCGAGCGGCCGTGGAGCTCGATAGATCCGTGGTTCCATGGAGCTGCAGAGAGAGAAGGAAGGAGATCCGACCGAACCGGCAGAGAGGAAGAAACCATTACCTGAAATGTCCAAGTCGGTAAGTTTTGTCAAGTTGACCATCCACTCCAAAGTATCACCACTCAAGTTATTGGAAGAGAGCGTTAGCTGGGTAAGATCAGCAAAGGAAATAGGGATTTGACCTTGCAAGTTATTTCCGTTGAGGAGTAGTGCAGTGAGATGAGAAAGATTACCCAATGAAGAGGGAATCGATCCTGAGAAATAGCACTCCCAGGCATATAAACTCATTCAAGAGACTAAGATTTCCCTTATACTTCAGGGTTTGACCTTCATATTATACTTCAGGGTTTGACCACGAACAACTGGTCGGAGTGGACCCGCTGTTGGCCTCGGGAAAATCTTCACAGCCTTCTTTTGCCGAGCTGGGCACAAAATAAAGAACATCAGAATGCTCCAAGAATAAGAATGGCAGCACTACGATATAAAGGGAGCAATTTAATTACCTAAGCGTCTTCTAGCTTTTCTCGCAGGCTGGTTAAACCAGGTCTTGACATAATTTTGCCAGTGCTTTCTGAAGTGCCCATTTGGCACGACATTGTCATATTTAACCATGACTTACCTAAAATGCGAAAAAAGACAAAGCTTTTAAGGTTAAGATGGCTCTGAGATGTAAATATATGTTATCAGCAAAAGTTAAATGATCCAAACACATCAACGAAAAGTACAGCAAGTTTGTTTTTTCAATCCACACAATGTTAAAACTGGCTTTCAGAGCCTATATAGAATTTCAGAAAAATAAATATCATAAGCACGGTATCTTCCACATTGCCGACACAATAATTTCAATTCGGAATAACCACTTTCACAAAAGAAAAAGAATGACACAGTAAGGGAGTAAACCAAACGATAGTGAGTTTTAAGTTTTGTCGACTAACAGCTTAAATAAGCTGAAACATGTTTGAGCTCAAATTGGGACATTCCTAGACAGCAGAAGTCTGAGCAAATCTCATTTAAAACTACAAGAAACATGTCTGGATTTAAAAGTACAATCCCCATTCAAAGGGCATCGACATTCTTCAATCTTCACACTCCCACTGCACACTAGACCAACAAAATGCTGCATCGCGAACAATTCCGACAAGTTTGCAGCTCAATCAGATAAAAATCAAAACTTGATTTCAACCTCCTCAGCCCAGAGAAGGGAAACAGTTACTTCCAACAATAATTTCAACAACAATTCCAACAGACGAGGTCGAGCGAAAACAACACACGGCATTTCCAACACAATAATACGTTCGGCAGGAAAACAAACACCCGTGATTCACGAAGAGAACACCTCCTCGCATCTCACAACACGAAACGGCCCAATTAGATCGAGCGAACAAGGCCGTACGCAACAGACTGAGCTCACGAACGACGACGACGACGACTGCGACTAATGCCGAAGCTTTCAAACGACCAAGCGGATCCGAAACGGAGCAAAAACCAAACGGATTCGAACCCGAAATGGGATCGAAGCGAATCCGACGCGAATCAAAACCGAAGAAGGAGCGACCCAAGAGGCCGAAGAGAAATCACGCGATGATCAGCACCGATAATTTCCAAAGGATCGAGCTCGAACTGTACCTGCTTCGGAGCTTGAGAACCGAGGCGGTGCAATGGTTCCGACGGAGAGAAGCTGGCTCGACTGACAGAAGCTTTTATATCGCTTCGTAACATACTAACCCATGGGCTCAGGTATTGGATCCGAAAAAGAAAACAGGTTTTGGGCCTGACCCGATTCTTTTAGCTGTTTTTGGACTCGCGTCGCGGGCCGAAAGCCCAAGGCCCAATAAGACTCGGTGTAGACTCTTTCTTCCCAGTGACATTAGGGGCACCGTGGCCGGATAAGGTGGTGCAGCTAAGATTTTTCGCTTTGTTTGTACATTCAAGAGAGAGAGAAAGAACAATTAAATATGTTTAAGAAGAGATGATTGGCCAACGGTTTGGTAGTTGGGAATGATTCGGACTTGGAATCGTATAATTTCTTCTTCTCGCGTTAAATTTGAATTGCGTTATTGACACCTAAATTTTGCCTCGTCACTTAGGATTTAATGGTATAGAAAATTAGGGATTAATTGTTAATTCCTAAAAAAAAAGTAAAGGAGTTTCGGGCCGGTCCGTCCGGCCCGTTCTTTTTCCCCTTTTTCAGCTGGGCTCGGCCCATTCATTATTTTTTCCCTTTGCTTTCTTTTTATTTCTTTTTCCTCCTGGCCCGGGCCGGGCACTGTTTCTTTTCCTCCCCCAGCGTCGTTCCAGCTCCCTGGAACGCTGATACGGAGAAGGACGAACGACAGAGGATGCAGAGAGACAGAGGGGGAGTGGCAGGCGATCACCCGGCGCCATACGAGGGTCGGGGGCAGGCCGGCCACGACAGGGGCTGGTCGGGCGTGCCGGCTAGCCCCCTAAAAGGCCGAGTGCTGGCCGCACGCGAGAAGAGAAGGAGGACCGGGAGAGAGAGTTGGAGAGGGAATCCGAGAGGGAAAGAGAGTGAAAAAACATCCCATTCGTCGGGGGCTCGCCTAAAATCGCCATCGTTCTCTCCACGAGCCAGCCTGCCGGTCGCTGTCGCCGCTGGAAGTCACCCAAACCAGGTGAGACCCTCGCACTTCCCCTGTTTCTCCCTTGCCTCTCGGGTGCCGGGCACACCGAGTCTATCCGGTGATCAACCTGCTCCGCCAATGGAGGATAACACTCGTTTGACACTTAAAAGGCTTTTTTTAAACGTTTCATATCGAAAATAGGCCACGATTCGTGTCAAAATCGGACCTGTGATTCTACTTCTCGGTCGCACCTTACATGTTTGACAAAATGCCTCAATGAAACAGTTAAAGCTTAGAGCGTCCAAACCTGGCCGTGTCAATTTTTGGAGTTCTGTTGTAAACCGAAGCAGCTTAATGGTATAAGGTGACTTTTTATACCTTTTCACACCACATTTGAGCCAAAAATCGCCCTCAATCTCAGTTTTGAGTTTCTGCTTGAACTCGCCTACCACCCGTTTGACAAAATGCTCAAAAGAGGCCCGAGATGAATGTTATGAAAATCGATGTTCTAGAGCTTCGATTAACGCATGGTTTGTTCTAATATTGTCACTGACTCCCAGTTATTTTTTCCTTTCATGTGATTTTGTGGCATATTAACTCCGGTTCGAGTCAGCCATGTGTGCACCTCCTGCCTGCCAGAAAGCTTTTCGTCAACGGTGATGCCTGCAGTTCGAGGCCGCCACCGTAAGTTCGTTATTTTCTATTCCACGTCGTGTATATTTGGTTCTTAGGTTTCACGTTTTCTGGTGGTCGTGAGTTTGGAGGCTGGGAAGTCGAGTTCTTGCTCGCCGACTCGTTTTCATGGCCGGAGTTAGTAGACGGTTCGGTAGCCGCGTTGGCCGGCGGCGAGGGTATAGAACCGGGGGTGGTCGTCGGCGTTGGCAACGCGAGCCGACAATCGGGGGCGGTGAGGTGGCCCCGGCGTGGTCTCGGCCGAGTACGTACTGAAGAAGACGAGGAAGAAGGCGTCCAGCGAAAAAGACGTGAGGGAAGAAGACCCAAAAAGTTAAAAATGGGAAAGGAAAAGAATAAAATAGAAAATAGAAAAAGAAATAGAAAAATTAGGATATAATCCGGGCGGGTCAGAGCGCTGAATCGGACCGGGTCCCCTGACCCGGTCCGGAGTCCTTTTATTATTATTAATTAACAAATATTAAAAATTCAGAAAAATTGCAAAAAATCCAAAAAAATTAGGAAAGGTTTAGAGATTAGTTTTTTTGGGTTAATTAGATCTTAGTGTTAATTTCATTCTAGACTTAGTATATAAAATAGAAAAAATATGAAAACTTTTTAAAATTGCTCCAAAAAATTGAACAAGCCATTAGGGCTTTACCTTAGGGCTTTTTATTGACTTTTCTTTTTTAGAGAGGATGCTAGGTTGCTGATTGTTTATTTTCATGCCGATTATTTGGTTGCACACCTTTAATACATTGGTTGTTTTTTTTTCCATTTTTAGCATGGTTAAGATGAACTTTAGGACCTTCGATAGGCCGCCCTGACTAGTTAGTTAGCTAATGGTCAAGTTTAGGTACCAAAATGGTACTAGTTAGATAACTAGAGTAATCAAGCCCCCGATCCTTAAAATTACACACGTATGGAGATGACAATTCTGTGTATCGATTAAGGTTTCTAACCAACTCTTGATTATGGCTAGTGGTGACTCCAATTGAATGCGTCGATTAGAAATTAATATCGCTCAAGGTATGAGGCTTGAGAGCGTCTCCGTCCTTGGATAGATGAGTCTTTTGATTTGTCTTTCGAACGAACCAATCGATGTTCACATCCACAAATACCTCTTGACCTATACATAGATTACCTGCCCCAGCCCAAACCCCCCCACCCCCCCTATCATAGAAATTATTGGAGCACGTATTTAATAGAAGATCCAAAGGAGATTGTAACGCCATAGCTTTCCTGGTTAGCAACTTCTGTGGATAGGAATTCTGGGGCTTCTTACTAGCCACTCAAAATTCTACGTGAAAGGACACATGGGGGTGACTAAAGGCAAAATGTCTTAAGTCTTTCGGGCTTGTTGTTTCTTTGGATGACTTGACATCTTCACATAAGTAGGGTCATTGTCATTCATGGCTGTCAAGAGTTTAATCCTTAATCCTTGATCTTTCATGTTCCTTGATGAGTCGATGAGAAAAATCAATTAAGGGCGACAAGATGCGATCTAAGACCTAGCCCTAAAAAGTAATCCTTTATGAATTCTTCTGTTTGATTGTCAATGACCTACCTCCAACCAGATCAAAGAAGCAATTTAACTAGTATGTGAAATCTGACTTGAGATATCAACTAAAACAGACGAGAAAAATTTAGATATTTTGGGTGTAAATAACATGCATATTTAATTGGCATAGCTGCTTGACTCCTTGATAGATCACTGTTTTTATAGCTTCCTGTAAATGAATCAACAATCCACGTGAAAGACTAAGGAACTGACAAAGTGATGATTAAGATCAACCATATTATGTCTAAATGTCTTGCCATAGATGTTTCGCAATTTCAACATATTGCTTGAATCTCACTATTCTTTTGTTTTTTAAACTAATGTCAAGAGTTATAAGCAAACAGGCTATTCCTTTTCTAAAGGGAAAAACTGGTCACACAGCCACGAGTTACAAATCAGGTTGAATTCTCGTGCATACCGTGACTGATGGTTCATGTGCAATCATAGGTGCATAGTTGGTCCACTAAAATGGAATCTCATACTTTTTCCACAAAAAAACCAAAAATATGAGACCTGCCAAAAGGCTTTTGCCAATCTTTTAGATTGACCAACGGAAGTTATTCTATAATTCTTTAGAGCATTTCTAGTCCTTGAATCACAAAAAAAAAAAAAAACACGTACTCGAAATTATCAATTGAAAATATTTTCAAATTTGAAGCCGCCACTCCTCAAGCAATTAATCAAATGTGGGATCTTTCCCAATATCCTCTACGCCTACTTATATTCTCTTTGCGGCTGAAAGTATCGACTACCTTGTTAGCTGCCTCGGACTTGTGTTGAAGGACAAAATGAATTCTTGCAAGTTGGAAACCCATATATCACCACCTCGTTTTATATAATAATAATGACAAAATATATGTGATTATGATGAATTACAAACAAGCATAAATCTCTCCGGAGCTATATAAGCTTCGAAGGACAGTGAACACATCGCGGCAGAAATGTGGCTCTATGAGATGGCCTTAGACTAGAATTGGTATTTACACATTGAAATTGATACCGTGTCTATTATTCAAAGCAATTAGGGGCACTCATAGCCCTAATTTGCTGATGGAACCTCTTCTGGCTGAATGCAAGAACTTGCCCGCGGAGCTGCGGGAGTACAAAATTGAGCACATATTCGGAGAAGTAGCCGGTTGCACGGATGCTTTGGCCTTGCTTGCAAAGGAACAACATCTGCATTTTGGTACTTATTCCTCTGTTTTAGATGTACTTTTGCATAATGACTCCGTTGGGAGGACATATACTAAAGACAATGTAACTTGACTAGTTTTGTGTAATGATCGACAGTTGAAATTTGTTATGATACCAAATGACATATTATGTAGATAGAGCATCGTTGTCCCTTACCCATATTGACATAGTGCATTTAGGATTTTACTTAGTCATGCCTATTGTCAAGACCTCTAGATTTAGGACTGGGATGAGTGGGGAAGATTGGATTTCTTCGATTCCTGCTATACGGGTAGTTGTGAGGCGATTTTCCTTCACTACTTGCTCTCATCTCTCTCTCTCTCTACTTTTTTCTTTCTTTTATTTACGATGTATTGCATGGACCTAGTTTCCTCGCTTTATCATGGCTAGTTTAGCTTCAACGGCTCGGCAGAAGGTGGAGGCTTGTGCTATTTTGAAGGGTAAGTCTCGCTGTGATCTTGGGATTCAGAACAGTCAACTGGAAGACAAACATAAATGATATCGAATTATTATAGGATAAATGCACGGGAAGTCCTAAAACTTGTCACGAAAGTGCAATTGAGTCTTAAAATTTACAAAAGTGCAATTTAGTCCTAAAACTTGTCAAATTGGTGCAATCGAGTCAATCCGTTAACTCCGTCTAACTTGGCTAATGAAAAATGCTGACGTGATTTTTTTTAAGGTCATAGCGCGTTGTTTGCACAAATATATGACGACCGTATCTTCGAGATAGGCTGGTCGAGTAATTCGCTTGCAGGTACTCCTAAATACGAGGATCTCAACATGTTTGGCAAATATACATGATTCGTGACACGAGTCGTATAAGCACATGAGATTCGTGCGACTTCCTTCACTTTTCATAACGACTTGGAATGATTGGGGCCATGGTAGATTGTGATGCACCTTTTTTCCTCTTCTTTCCAATGTCGAAGGGATCCGATGTGGATTGATAATCCACATAAAGAAAAGGTTTTTTCTGAGTTCTTATATATCATTAACTATTGCCTTAATAATTCCTTACAAGTTTGTGAGTTCAGATTCAATCTATCACTCATGTCATTATATAACACTTAAATTTCAAACAACATTGAAAGAAAAGGTCTTTTCTGAATTCTTATAGATCGTTAACTATTTCCTTAGTAATTCCTACTTCTAAATACAAGTTTGTGAGTGCAGATTCAATCTATCTCATCACTCATGTCATCAATTGGTACGAATGGTACCCTTTTATCTCTCCTCTTTTTACTTATTTTTTTGTCATTCTTATTAAAAGAACTGGCACAAATATAATCCGTTTTTTTATCGCTCTAATCACCAACCTTGCTCCGCACTTTGCAGGCGTGGGACGAGGGTGGAGACGGGGACTTCCGTGGGCCCTGCTCACTACTCTACTTATTCCAATTCCAATATAATCCTTTTTATTATGTTCAGTTTTCGAAAGTTACATAGAAATCGTTATTTTGTTAGATTTCGTGTTTACATTTATACTCATTAAACTAAATCACTCATCAAATTATATGCTCTTTAAGCTAACAATTTTACATTTAATAATTGGCTTCTAATTCGTATCCACTTATCTCAATTACGTCTCTAAATCAAAGTATCTACAGGCTTTCAAAAAAATGGATAGATAAACCAGGTCCTAGGTCAGATTCTCTATATTCATGAGAGTCATTTGGCTAGTAATATTACAACAAAACATTATGACATTGCTGATGTATCTATGGACAGAGATGTTCTCTATGAACCTAAAGAACTAGCTTTCATGACCAAGAAAACAGCATCTCATATTAATTTACTGAAACATTACAAACAAACATAGATTAGAATCTTCAGACATGCACGTATAACTGTACTAAACAAACAACTTAGATACAGAGCATTAAGTACCTAGCTGCATATTTTCTTGTCTGCTAGAGCTTATCTCACCTTTTACATCCTTTTGCCATTCTCTTGGAGTAGTGCAAGAACCACCTACTCTTCTCGTCAATGATCAAGTTCCCTAGCACAACACCAACCAAAAACCCAACTCCAGTGCCAGCCAGCACGATTTTCCAATCCAAGTCAAATAGAGACTCTTCTTCATTATCTACTTTGAAAGACGATAGTGGTGGTGCAGTGCTTTCACCAATTGTGCATTTATTTGGCAGAGGACCTCCACACAACCCCTCATTCATCGCAAATGAATTGCTCCCGAATGTGTCGAACTGTGTTCCACGTGGTATCGGTCCCGATAGTCGATTGTGAGAGACATCGAAAACCTCGAGAAATGTGAGGCTGGCTAGTTGTTGAGGAATCTCTCCTGTGAGATTGTTCAGGGAAAGATCCAGTGATTCGAGCACTGTCAGGTTGGCCAAGGAAGGAGGGATGCTACCATTGAGGAAGTTGTTTGAAAGGTTGAGCATACGAAGTGACTTCAGATCTCCAATGAGTTCAGGAATGAATCCTTTGAACTTGTTATTGGAGAAGTCAATCGCCACGAGGACATCCGAAATCTTCGCATAGTCCATTTTCATGCCCTTACTCATTAATGTCATCGCATAAGTCAAACTTTCACCGTATGAAACATAAGACATATTAAGCCAATTATAAAGACTCAAATATGCCAACTTTTCTTGACCATCGATAAACTTCATGGCGTGGCAACTCCTTAACAGCTTGGAAGGAAGTTCACCATTGAAGCTGTTGTTGGATAGGTCCAGGATGTGTAAACTGGTGAAGTTAAGCTGGCTTAGATTATCTTCTATGGGTCCATGGAACATATTGGACTGGAAGTCAATAACTTTTAGGTAGGCCAATTCCGATAGCCAAAATGGGAATGTATCATTAATTTGGTTGTCACCAAGATTCAAATACTCCAGCATTCCGCAATTGCCTAAAGATCTCGGAACAATCCCTCTCAGGCGGTTTTCTCTTAGGTCGATCATCCTCAATGAACAACCATCTGGGTAAATATAAGGAATCATGCCCTCAAATTTATTTCTCGCTAGATTCAATATAATCAAAGGACCAAAACTACCCAAACAAGGAGGAAGTGTGCCATTCAGAGAATTGTTGGACAAATCAAGCACGGCAAGAGAGCTCACTTCACAAATGGATGTTGGAACTTCCCCATATAGGAAATTGTTTGAGATGTTGTATTGCTCGACCGAGGGTGGTGGGACAGGGAGGGTTGTTTCTAGCAAGTTAGAACTCACGTCAAGATACTTCAATTTCGGCAAAGGAAGATCGGTCTGGTTGATTTCAAAGCCGGTTAAAAGATTGTCAGAAAGATCTATAGACCATAGAGATTCTTTGCTATTGTTCCACATCCATCTAGGAATGGTCCCTCGGATTCTGTTATGTGATAGGTCTAACTGTACCAATTCGCTTAAGTAGCCTATAAACTGTGGGAACTCAGTCAAGTTGCATGAATCCAAGTATAAGTAGGCAAGCTTCGATGTAGTGGCGTTGATGAATGGCTTGGTGAACGATATATTGTTGAAGGACAAGTCAAAAGCTCTCAAGTTTTTGAATTTGAATAGATCATTTAAATCGAAAACACCGTTGAGATTAAACGACCCGAGGTAAAGCTCTTCAAGATCCTCCAGATTCCAGAATGTACCCGGAATATCACCGCCCAAGTCGTTGCCAGAAAGGTCGAGCATATTCAGCTGCTTCAGGTTCGCAAATGAAGATGGAAGTCCACCGCTTAGCCGATTATCTACCAAACAGAAAGAAAAACAAAAAGACACAAGACCAAGAGGAGCGTTAGTCACACCATGGGACTAACCGCAATTGAGAATATTAGGAGCAAATGTGACGCCACGTCATCTATGCACCAGCCCACTCAGTGGACGAAAAGTGGCACTGTGGGTCCCACCGTCAGAAAATTTGGAAAAGTCTCTCTCCCTCTCCTCCTCTCTGCCGGTTCGGGTCGCATCTCTTTCCTTCTCTCTCTCTCTGTGCAACTCCATGGAACCACCCAACTTCCTGAGAGAAGGAAAGAGATCCGACCAAACCGGCAGAGAGGAAGAAACTATTACCTGAAATGCCCAAGTCGGTAAGTTTTGTCAAGTTGACCACCCACTCCAAAGTATCACCACTCAAATTATTGTAAGAGAGCCATAGCTCCGATAGCTGGGTAAGATCAGCAAAGGAAACAGGGATTTCACCTTGCAAGTTATTTCCGGAAAGGAATAGTGTAGTGAGATGAGAAAGATTACCCAATGAAGAGGGAAGTGATCCCGAAAAATAGCACTCACTAGCGTGTAACACATTCAAGAGACTAAGATTTCCAATCGAAGCGGGTATTTCTCCCGAGAAATCGGTCAGGCAAAGGTATAACGATTTCAATGGAGAACCCCAATGCAATTTGGGAAAAAAACCAGAAAGGTTGGAATTGTCAGTAATGTCAAGGATTTCCAACTTTGGCAGCTGAAAAATGCTGACCGGAAAGTCTCCATTCAATCCACAATATCCAAGCTCAAGCGATGTCAAGGAAGAGAAATTCGCTAGCACAGGAGGGATAGGGGATGACAAGCTTACAAAAGAAAGATGGAGTTCTTTTAGCCCAGTCAAATTATGAACAAGGTCGCCCATGTTGGGCAAATGAAGATTCGCGTCCCAAGAAGTGGACAAATCGAGAGAAACTAACCCGGATAGTTGCGAGATATCGTGAGGGATTTCACCGGAAAAATCTGAGTTGGAGAGATTAAGGTATTGTAACCTCGAAAGATTGCTAAAACCGTACGGGATTGGGGAGAAGTCGAAGCTGTTATAAGCGAGATTGAGCGACTCCACGTGAACGAGTCGAAAGAGAGTGGTGTTGGGACTCATGGTGCCCGAAAGACAACTGCTGCTGAGGTTGAGGGCAATCACTTGGCCGGTGACCTCATCACATTCGATGCCGTCCCACGAACAACAATCTCCACTCTCACCCAGTGACCAAGAGTGGACCTTTGGATAAACGCATCGCGAATCTGTCGTGTTGGTTCTGAAACTTCTCTTGAATTCCATTAAGGCAGAGCTCTCATCCGCATGACATGATACCTCAGCAAGCCTAGTACGAAAGAGAGAGAGTAGGAACATCCAAGTAAGCAGCAGATATAATGATAAGGCTGCCATATTTTTCTGCTTTTGTGTTTTGTTCTTTTGGTTACTGAAGTGAGTTTTCGTGGGAGAGTGCAACGGAGAAGCTTTTTATAGGCAGCAACAATTTGTTCTGTCAATGGAAATATCTTGCTACTTGGCCATCCAAAGTGCTTGACCCCAATACTTTTCATGGATTTTATGTATGCCTTCTGTATGGGTTTGAAAACTGCACGATGTTAGACCTATATAGATTTGTTTTATCATCCAGAGCACGAGCGCAGCGGCTTGGCATTGTCCCCTTTTATCTATATTTCTCTGTCATACTTTCGATATAGTATCCATTCATTTCTTCTGGTGACATATTGGAAATTGGCAACAAGCTCCCATGTAAAATTGTTCATGTCGTTTGATTTTGACTCACAGCTTCAAGGCGTAATTTCAAGTGCAGAGGTTGTTCAACGTTGTTTGTTCATCCATATGAGTTGCTTGTGCGGACTTTCATCAATAAGCCCATTTTTATAGGTGGGCCCATGTCTCTTTAACTGTAAACTCGCTTATACGTCTATTCTCTCCCAACCTCACTTGAAATTATCACCAAAAAAGTCATTTTGTTTTGGGATTCATCAAGTTTAAGACTCATTTTCTCATTCATTGTTTCATATTGATTTTTGATTAGTGAAGTTTCTCTCTTAATTATATCGTGTGCGCTATCATGCGTCTGACACAATTTGCGTACAGGCTGACTAACAAATTTAAATCGTTTTACATATTTCATCTCAATTAGAATCTACTGTAGATCCCATCTACCTGTCCAAAGACCATACGATATTTTCTCGAAAATGGCAGGTTGAGTCAAGAGTCCAAGCAAGATAAAGGCATCATCTGTCAAAAGATATATGTTCTTGTGCCGTGCTTCACCATTCATTGCCAGTATTATTGGCATGGTCCACTTACCAGTGAAATGATACCTCCCGTCTTTTTCGCATAGAAAAGAAGAAAAAAAATACCAAACTCGACAAAACTCAACAAAGAATTTTCCTCCTTGTGACAGGCGAGTTGAACTAACCTAAGCACTGGGATTGGGATAATTTTACGATTTCCACTAGTTTAAGGCTATTAATAGATGGGTATAAGGGTTAATTTAGGTTGTAAGTCCAAAATTTAGCAAGATAAGTCAAAAAAAACATTCCATGTTTTTATCGAATCAATTTGTGTTACCAGGAAAATCAAGTAAGATAGTTCGGTGTTTTATGGCAAAAAGAAGGGATAGTTCAATGTTTAACATATAGTTGAGATTACTAGTAAAACGTATTGTGTGTGCACACATTAAAACCACATTTTTTTTAAAAAAAACTGCATAAACATCAAATTTTCTTGAGCATATGGAAGATTATTTATTTGACTTTCAGCGTTAAAAAATTAACTATATTTATGTTATTTGAAAGAAGAAGTTTGTGAAAAAGAAGGAAACTAATATTTTCTCATAATAATAAAAAAATAATGCAAGAATTAGTTATCTACCAAAATTTTCACAACTTCATTGATTTTTTTCAGTATGAAATGAGAAACACTCGTTTTAAAATAAACAAATCGGAAAAAAAAATATCAACACAATTGAAATGAAAACGATGAAAGATAATATGATAATATTGAAATAGATTGATGTGCACTCAGAATCATCAAATAAAGACATTACAGTAAGTACTGCACCATTTTTAGATAAAAATAAAGCATGGAAGAAAAAAAATTGTATGTGCACATGCGCGCGAATAAGAGAGAAACAAAGAGAGTTATCTACTATGAAGAATAAACAGATCATTGGTGCAAAAGTGCGATGGAAATTGAGAAGTTAAATATATTGAAGAAGGCAACTTGAACGGGTTTCCTCAATTTAAATTAAGTTCAATGTGAAAAAGTGTCTTGAATAGTATGAATCAAAAGTTTCTTTTCTTGTAACCATGGAGGAAATTTTTAGTAGAAAGAATTAAGGTTACATGCACATTTCGTAAATTTTGATTTTATGAGAAAGTACAAATAGATAAATCAAATTTTAATTTGAATGTGAAAGACACATTGTGTGAATGAAAATTAATGTTTTATGAAAAACACAGCTCTTGTATAATGGACGAGACAGGTCTTGTTTAATAACCATTATCCGATCATTACTTGAAAATCAGAACACTTCCTCATCGAGTGTTGAGTTGCCCCAACGACGCAAGATGACATATAATCCTTAAAGATGACATATCATGGATAACAAGCTGGAATCAACATCTTTTTTTTTTTTTATTCTATAATCCATCAAAATAACAAGAATTACAAAGAAATTAGGAAAAAATTATGAAATCATATTAGTAAAATATTATATATGACTGTGTTCTTTGAGAAAGTGGGAAAATGGGAGCATTAATAAAGTATATTCAGGAGATGGGAAACAATATGAAAATTTTATATTCTTTTCACTTGGACGCGTAGCAAGAAATAAGGGAAAATGATTTCTTTATTGCTAGAAGGGAAAGTCGTCTTCCCGAATCTAAGTTTGTTGCTTCAAGTCCATGGAAAACGTTTTTATCGATCGAATAATTTTTTGTCATCCAAATGCTGGAAAGTTTGAAAACGATTTCCCATAATTTTTTTTTTTATTGGCCGATCGACCCTAAGGGTCCTCGAGTTCCTTCGCATAGATTGATTTGGTTTCATCCAAATATTCCAAGGTTTATTTTATTACCTGGGTCATTGTTTTCGCATGGACCACACGTTTGACCACACGTTTTTCCGGAGAGCATGTGTAAAGAAAGGTCCAGAGATTCCAGCAGAGTCAGCTCAGCTAAGGAAGGTGGGATCGGACCAGTGAGATTTTTGTTTGAAAGGTTAAGCATGTGAATGAAGTGGCTTCAAATTTCTAATTGGTGCGGGTATGGGTTTCTCGAACTTCTTGTTGGAGAGATTAATTGCCATAAGGGCATATTGAACCTTTGAGTATTCCCTTTCCGTGCCTTTATTCATCAGTTTCATCCCACAAGTCACACTCTCCCAACCCTAGGAAGAAAGTTCTTGCGGAATATCCACCTACTCGAACTCATATTGACCAACAATAAATTCACCTGGAACCCCTTGGATGGTAGCTTGCCATGGAAATTGTTGTTGGAAAGGTCCATGATTTGCAAACTGGTGAAGTTAAATTGGCCTTGTTAATTAGTTTCCATCGGACCATGGAATTTATTGGAAGGCAAGCCAATAAATTTTAGCTCAGTCAAATCTGAGAGCCAAAAGGGGAAGTTACCATCATTTTGATTGTTACCAATATTCAGTACTCTAGCTTTCTACAGTTGGCCAAAGATCTTGGAACAGACCCTCGCAATTCGATTCTTCCTGAGGTCTATCATTCTCAATGCACAACCATATGAGGAATCATAGCCTCGAGTTTAATTTTCCCAAGATTCAAAATTGGCAAGACTCGGAATATGCCAAACTTGCAGGAAGCATGCCATGCATACTATTGTTGGACAAATCAATATTTCGATGAATATAAGTATGAAAATCTACAGATAAATTAATATCCTTTCTAAATATCCTCATGATAACACTTAGACATATAATAATAGGAATGTCAACTGATACAACTCTAAATAAGGTTCTACTTTTATTAATATAGATCTATCATAAGCTAAAATTTACTTAAATGAAATTATTGTAATATTTATAAAGACCAAAAAGGGAAAAATGTAATAAAAAGATAGTAAATTGAAGGGAATGCATTGAACATTAAGTAATAGTTGAATGACCACATCGTACGAATTAAAAGTCCAACGATAACGTTGCATATTGAGCCAAAGTTTAGGAACCATTAATATCATTTTCCTTCAAAATATAGATCAATATTACCTCAACAATTGATTATGTGGATTACACTTTGGGTTCCACGTGATTGAAGTTAGAGATGAGTTTTATCTACCAGTCCAAAGACCATACAATATCTTTTTCGAAAATTACAGGCAAACTCAAGAGTCCAAGCAAGATAAGGCAGCATCGGTCAAGAGCTGCAATAGAAAGGGCAAATGGAAGGTGTAAATTTTCTTGTGCCCGTGCCTCGCCATCTATTGCCAGTGTAATTGGCATGGTCCACTTACCAGTGAATTCACATCTTACATCTTTTTCACGTAGGAAAAAAAGACCTAACTTGACAAACCTCATCAAAGAATTTTCGTCCTTAGCGACAAACTAGTGGAACTAAGCTATTTACTGGGATTGGGATAATTTTATGATTTCCATCATTTTATGGCTATAAGCAGATGAGTTTAAGTGTTCTGATGATCTTATAGCTTAATTTACATTAGAAGTCCTAAATTTAGCAGGATAAGTTAAAAAGTACCTCATGTTGTGTGTTTACTGTCTGATTACAGTTCCTTGATGCATTTTGATTGAAGATTCTTTATTTGAATGTCAATATTCATATAGTATAAAAGAACTATATGAAAAATAAGGAAACTCAGAATCATCAAACAAAGACATTGAAATATGTGAGTGCTGCGCCTTCATTAGATAAAAGGAATGCATTAGAAGAAAATAAAGTCGTACGTGCGCATGTGTGCGAATGAGAGAGAAACAGAGAGAGTTATCTAGTATGAAGAATAAATGGATTATCAGTGCAAAAGGGCGATGAAAATTGAGAAGTTATATATATT